ACACGAAGCACAACAAGGAAACTGGTGACAACGTTGGTCCACTGGTCGTGAAAAGACACTGAACATAGTCGTCAGCGTCGTTTTAGGTTCTCTAGATCATTCATCTTTACCACTTACATATGTGATTTCCTTTTGTTTTTGTTCATCCTGTTGAAGTTTGTGAGTAGTAAAGTTTTTCGAACGTGACTGTTTATCAATCCATATCTCTGGGAAGCCATTTTTACGAGAGTGTACTATGCATGCGTGCTTAAGGGTAATGGAGAGGGAGTGTCGGAAATGTCTTCCGTAATTGCGGTAATGTAAAAAGCGTGGGAGATTTTCGTGAAGAAGTGTTTGCTTACGTTTTCAATGTGTCAGCAAGTTTAGAGGTAAGGGTAAACGAATTTACAATTCTGGGTGGTCGCACTAGAGGTACACTCTTCATCCCAGCAGTGGAGTGGGCGTGGCTGCGTATTTGAACATGGAGTAGGGTGCGTTCGTTGTGGGATATCTCGGGTGTGTGGTGATTCTATCGTCGGGTCGTCGCGCCGGTGGGCGGAGCGAGGCGGCGTGGCGGCCGCCGCGTACGAGTTTTGTTGCGTGGCGTTCAAATTGTTAAAGGGTCGACGATCCCTTTAACAATTTGAAAGAGGCACAGCTTGCTGTGGCCGAGCAGGTCCGTGACTTTTATTATTTTATTTTTTCGATAGAGTCGTCCGTCAGACGATGCCGCACACGCCGCACAGCGACGCGGCGCGGCGTGTGCGGCGTCGCCTGACTTGCCGACGATAGAATCGCCCGGGAGCCCCTCCAAAGGCGCAGCTGCTGTCACGTTTAAAGGCACTTTCCGCGATAAAATAAGCCTATAACCTCTCAAATGTGTCAGATGATCCTGAAGGCGATACTGGAGCCTGTGCCACCTTCAAATAGTGAAAATCGCCAGAACTCCACTGGAAGCGGGACCCATGTGCACCCCTTAGGCCCATGCCGACTCCCTGCGGCTGCTAACGACTAGCTGGTAGCCACTATGCTATCTCTCTTCATTCCGTATGGTGAGAGTGCGGTCATAAGATAAGAAATGCTGTATCTTATGATAGGATGACTCAGAAAAAATATGCACGCATAAGTTCAGGTCGGCTTGGAGTTCTATTTAGGGCATTTCGGACTGTTTTTTTTTCTGCATCTTTTCTCCAATGATCAGTTAGTTACCAAGCACTTTTCGTTCGTATTGGAGACCCGTTACCTGCAATCTGTGGTGGCGGGCTTCACCTTCAAATGAAGTTCGTAGTCACGTACTCCCAATCGCTGGGATATAGAGTGCAGTGAAGGCGGTGGCGCTGAATGACGGATTTAATGACGTGCCCTGATTTGATTGCCCCGAAGGGTCGTTATGATTACTAGGCTGTTCAGAAAAGATGCGATTGGAATACCACGTGCCCATTTTTATCTGTACCAGCTATAGCATGTCAAGGATGTGGCGGTGATAACTTTCGTCGCTCCACTCGCTGGAAGGCTCGGTTCTCGTAATGGGCCAATGAAGGCTATTGTTAGCGGTGGTATATTTTGTGGGTGCTATGAGACTTGGGGTTAATCTAACCCTTTGTGTAGATTTATATAGGTTTACTGACGAGACGGGGTGGTCTCGTTGGATTGCGGTAGAATACAATATAGTGGAGACGGGGTGGTCTCTAGGTAGTCCGAGACGGGGTGGTCTCGGTGGTGGTTGTGGTAGAATGCTCACTTCAATCTAGACATGCCTCTCAATACAGGAGAGGTCATATCTAACCATTTACCTACAGTTATAACATAGCTCAATGTTCCCTGTGGGTCACACATATCAATCAGAGAGTCACAAAAGGGACCGGCAGATTCTGGTGACAATCCGGGATACCTTTGATGCCGAATAACTCGATGGTTCAATGGAATGTTATAATAGACCAGTCGGCTCGCCGGCTAACGCCGGCGCGCCTCCTTCTGATACGGCCCGGCTGCGCCGGGCGGGCGCGGCTTCGCCGCGCGTATTTTCTTTCACATATTTCTAGACTCAACTGATATCCGCCTTTTGTTCTGTACTCCACTTTTTTCCGGTGTCTGAAGTACTCTTGAGCTATTTTACAGATTCTTCGTCTGACTCCGCCCACCTCAGAGCAGACCCGCCCACAATTTTTGTGCCCCACAATCTTCACCGACGACCCTCTGCTGACCTTAATCCACTTTTTCCGGTGTCTGGAGTGTTCTGGAACCGTTCTACAGAATTTTTGTCTGGCTCCGCCCACCTCGGAGCAGGCCCCGCCCACAATGTTTGTGCCCTACAATCTTCACCGGCGACCCTCTGCTGACCTTAATCCACTTTTTCCGGTGTCTGGAGTGTTCTGGAACCGTTCTACACATCTTTTGTCTGACTCCGCCCACTTCGAAGCAGGCCCGCCCCCAATTTTTGTGCCCCACAATGCTCACCGGCGACCCTCTGCCTTAATCCACGTTTTTTCCGGTCTTTGAAGTGCTCTGGAACCGTTTTACAGACATTTTCGTCTGGCTCCGCCCACCTCGGAGCAGGCTCCGCCCACAATGTTTTTGCCCCACAGTCCTCACCGGCGACCCTCTGCTGACCTTAGTCCACTTTTTTCCGGTGTCTGGAGTGTTCTGGAACCGAGCTACAAACTAAAATGAATACCCTGCGATTGAAGGCAAGCTCCGCCCACTGTGGGGCGGGTCTCACAGCTTTGAGCGTGCCGCTATATTCGCCAGATATTTACATTCTACACTGAGTTTTTGCGACTTCCAAACACTCTCGCGAACCGGGTTACTGAATTTTGCGAGAAGCACCGCCCACCTTTAACACGCCTCGCCCATTTTCGGATGTGTCTGCCATAGTTAGTCTGGCGACTCCTTACTAACCTTATTCCCTTTTTCCCCATCTTTAAGCTGCTCCGGAAGCGAATTATGAACATTTTTCTGCGGAACCCCAAACTTTCTTTCGGCGAGTGCACCGCCCACTGTGGGGCTTTCCATAGGTCAAGTGTGCTTTTTATTCCTTTGTCCCATGCCCTACCCATCCCCACCTTGACCGGACCTCTCCAAGTCGTTCTTAGGTCGTAATCGATAATTATCCGGACGACAAACAAACAAAGGATAACAGACGATATATACCGTGATAGGCAAGACAGAGAGAAAGATGGAGGAGAGCACCAGAGCTGTTCACCTGGTTGCCAGGGCGAATAGTGGAGTTGACTGACATGTCTGTTTGGTTGCTACCCTCCCCCCACCAGTTGGGGTCGAAGGGCATCATCGGAGGCGATGACAGTATAGTTGGTGAAGGAATGACAGATTTTACCATAAGGCAGGTCGATACTGCTAAATTGTTCTCAAGGCGAGGGCGGAAAGTGGTAGATGCACTACTGTTGGATAATGGAAATCCCTAAAGTGGGGGGCCTAAGCCATGGCATGTCGCGATTTTGCATTGTATTGTTCTGTTTGAATTCAGTCATAGTGTGCGATCGCTCTTGTTCTTCTTAGAGTCTCTCTTTTTTGTTTTTTGGTGGACTGGTTTCCTTGCGAATGTCTTATGCCTGCGCCTGCATTGTTTCTGTCCATCGCGTCACTTAATCCTGCCCTCCCCCTCTTTTACCGCGTACCGATTAGCGCCCATCAGTGTTGCGGGGCTGTCTCGAGAAAGGGTTGTCCCGAAAGCTGGTTGAATTTCGAAAAGCCTTCACCTGATCGATCGTTTTCTCCAAAATCGAGGTTCTGAACATGACGAACAGACTTTGCGCATGGTACTTCAAGTCGTTCGCAGTGCGTGAAAAATAAAAAGGTCGAATAATCGCACAAGGGAAAAATAATAAAATGAGTCAAGAAAAAAATCATGAACTCGTTAAAAATGAGCGTGGCAGTCTGGAGCAGGTCCGACATGTTGTCTAGGGTAATCAAGCTGATAGTTCCGTGCACTTCAAGCAATATCCTCAATCCTCTCACAAAAGATCGAGTACATCAACTTCTGCTCGAACCAAGAACGATTTCACCGCTTCGGGTGCTACCAGTCCCGTCTGGAAAGGTGATAGCGTTGGGTTGTCAATTTCCCTTCTGCTAGGAGAGGACTTATCCCGTTCTCTTACCATAAAGTCTGGGGAAACACGTTGTGCAGGAGAACAGCAAAATTTGAAAATGTTCTTTGTTCAGAAAACTTTATACAAGGCTAAAACCTGCCTTAGGTGCCAGTACGACTTCCCTACTGCAGGATGATAGGTCACCCTATAACAAGGGCACATTATCAGGAGAAAAAGTGGTTGGCAAGCCTGTTTTGTAGAATTTTTAAAGCGCCCGAGAAGAATACCATATCAATCTTTATTACAGTCACTGGTTTTTAATAAGTTACTGAACGGTTATCTAGTAGTTAACTGATGTCAAATCGTCTCTCAGCGAGAAACGAGCGTGAGGGGATCTCTAAGGTATTGCATTCCTGCCCTGCCGTCGCGAAGGTTTATTTGGCGGGTATAGGACAATTCTTGGGACAATTGTGGGTTGGTACAGAATACCACGTTAGTTCCAAATCTGTCACTTAGCCGAAAAGCAAGCACACCTTAGTGATCCCCTTGAGAACGCAACGACTTACAATTTACTGTTAATTTATCACAACCATGAGTAGAAGAAAATACACCGCATAAAGGCCAATTGGAACACAGCGATGAAAGAAGTGAAAGCAAAAAAATAATGACTATAAATAATAATGTCTACTAAAAACACGGAAATGCGATCGCATACAGCTAGAGACAGTCACTGAAGCGATATAAAAGCGTGAGTTTCATCGGGTACGAATAACTTAAGAACTGCATGAAAAGGATATAGGTGTAAGTTCACTTGAAAATCTGGTCATAATCAACAATGAGCCTGTAGCAGAAGTTATTCAAATTGTTCAGCTGGGCGATCGGCACCTATAATAATGCTGACTTTGCAGAGGAAAAACTTAAAAAAGTTAAAAAGGAAAAAACTTTCACATTCTGGAAACAGAAGTATACAAACTCGAAATCACCTGCTGGTCAGTAGGCCATGTAAGATTCGGTCCAAAAACAACACTGAGATTATTCGCGGTCATTAAGTTCACATTATGATTAGCAGCCACCTGAAGCACTCTAATCGTTGACATTTCTGAACAATTAGACGACAAAACTTATCTTTACAAAACTCATAATAAAAAAGTCGGCGCTGTACGGCTTAGAAGGGGCACTTGCACCTTTGCTACTCCTTTTTTCCCCAGTTTATGTTACCTAGCAGATCTCATTTTAGTGAGGCCTATAGACTCTTATGAAGCTGAGGACGGTACAAGTGTTTACAGGTCTTCATGAAATGGCCTGTACAGGCTTTACTGAGTATCATGTTGCCCCCACCAAGCCGAACTGCGCCGAAACCCTTGAAGAAATTAGCGTAGAAAACACTAGACTGGATCTAGTATGAAGTCTCAGTTTCCAATATGAGAAGAATCCGATCATCCCTACCCTTTAAGTCATCCTTACGTAACCCAGATCAATGAAAATTATCAACAGAATGGCAACAAAAAGAGAAGAAAAAAAAACCAAACAATTCAACGATATATCATAAGGATGGACCATACAATAGCAAAATCACGCACCAGTGTGAGGAAGTGTACAACTTTTTGTAGTAGAAGATAGTTAGGTCGAGGAAGTAGAGCGACGAATTCTTTCACAGCTGGCGTCTTCTCCTTTTTAGGAATTTCTTAAAAAGCATTTACAAGTTCAATCCGGCAAATTCAACATAAAAAGGTAAAGCTAGGGACGCCGAGGTAGTTCAGGGGCAGCCAGAGGCGAAACTAAGCCACGCTCGTTCCTGCTCGTCTTTGCCTTCTCATCAAGATACTGTCGCCTTCACCTCCAACAGCTTCAGTCTTGCAGAAGCAGACGAGCATAAACGAACACGGTCCATTTTGGCCCTCCCCAACTACCTTAGAGCAATAGGACTTCAGTAAAAATTAATCGCCGTGACTTCGACAAACCTGCCAGAGCAGCAAGACGTGGATAGAGAGCATTGGTTGTCACGGGCTCACCTAGCGATCGCAGGAATGTTTTCAGTAGAACCGATGCATGTATACAAGCAACGTAGTGATTGTCAACATACTCAGGATCGTTTTCGAAATCAATATGTTCTCCTAAACAAACTGATTCAACCCTATTCAGACGCCAAGCGAATTCTGCACTCCTTAATGAAAATGCATTTGCCTAAGCGGAGTTCAGAGGTGGCACGATCTTGGACGATGAGTTACACAGATTGTCAAAATGGACAGTTCCGTGTCTCCTCAGTACACTTGATTTTGCCCGCTGATCTGCTTGGCAGAGGCATTTTGCACTTTTGCTTACTCCTTTTGTTAATTCATGCCAACTAACAGGTCTCATTTAGGTGAAACCTGTAAACTCTTCTGAAGCCGCAAGATGGTGTGAGATGGTGGCCTCTGCGGGTACGTGACTAGAAAATCGTAATTCGCCGCGCTGATAGGCGTCGCGTGCGACGTCGCGCCCGCAAATGACGATGGTTTCAGGTCGTGGACTACAACAGGCAATGTAGAACGAAAATAGTCATAAATGTCCACAGATTCGTAGCCCACGTGAAATCCGGTGCTCCAGTCTGGTACAGGCTAACACGAATTGTGAAAACGCCGCGCATATCGCCGTGCGCGGCAGAGCGGCAATTTACGATTCTCTTGACGAAACTGTGGACACTCATGACTATTTTCGGTTCTACACTGCCTGTAGTAGCCCACGACCTGAAACCATCGTTCATTTGTGGGCACGCGACGTCGCACGCGACGCCTACCAGCGCGGTTAGGATTCTCCTGGCCTCTGCGGCCTTCGTTAGGTACATCTGGCGCACCCTAAGCCGAACTGCGCCTGATGTTGACACACGCGGCGGCAATGCGCAGAGACTAGCAAGGAATCCGTAAGTAGTAGCCTCAGCATAACGCTTGTGAATTAAATCAACCAGCTCCTGTTGCGAACGTGCACTCTTGCGAAGTCGCGTCATCGCAAAGTGGATTTCCTGACCCGCGCCTATAGATAAGTGGAGAAACTTGGAGAAAAAAAAACTAGAAAAGTCCAGATGAATTACCTCTGTTGATACGTTCCTGCAGTCTGCGAATACTCCCCACATTGGCGCTTTTCCTGAAGATGCCTTCGACATCCAAAGCATGCTTTGTGAGGAATTCGATCAGTTCAGTAACGATGGGCGGTACATCGTGGTCAGGGTGGTGCGACAAAATGCTGAAACGATGAGAGATCTGGCTTCATTCAAAGTTGCAAAGTGGAGTGCCTGAAAGTTAAAATCTGAAAAGTATCTTAGACATATTAAGCTAGCACTGAGAGAATGTACACTCAAAATCCCTGAGATGAGGTAGGCGTGGCTGCGTACTTCAACTAAACGTCGTGGTGGCTATGCTTTTGGAGAGATATTTTCATTTTGACCCAAATGTGGTCACGTCTCTGTCCAACAAGAACAAGATGGCGGTTGTCTCAAATTGAAATATCCCACGAGTAACCAGTTCTGTGCCATGTTCGAATGCCACGCCTACCCCGTCTCAGGGATAAGGAGTATAAGTTTAAACAAACGAAGAACTCAAAGAAAAAACCCTTCTATAGTCGCTCTTCTGGTTATACGATCAACTCAGGCATTAAGCTGGGCACTTTTTCAGACT